GCATAGGTAATGCTAAGGTAAAATAGAAGATTCAGCCCAGAAACATTTGTAGCCAAATCTTGGCTTACTCAGAAAGAATAACAGTGTTTTCAAAATAGCAGGATATAAAGAATCATATAATCACAATCATCTTAGAACTACAATGCTGGAAGGGATACTATGGATCAAAGAGAACTTTCTATATTTATTTCCTTTTGAGCGGATTAAAAGAAAGCTCAACTAGAAAAGATGCTTTTCTCAGGTGGACATAGACACCAGCAAAATGCACCAAAGTAGATTCATTTTTTGTGAATTTCCCCAAATTTCTTCTACACTAAGGCTGTGACCTCGCAGCTGCAGAAGGCAGACATTCCAACAGCAGTTGTTATCTAGCCAAATAATTCAAAGGCATTTTTTCCTTTATAGTGTAAAGAAACTTCATTTGAAACTGTATGGTTTATCTGGAGTTTAACGGCTGGGACTAAATGTTTGATCAAGCAGAAATAGATGTGAACTTCACCACAGATTTCAAGTAATTTTTTTTGGCCTTTTCTTCTCTGAGAATATCTCATAGTGTTCCTTTTATAATCAGGCCTTTCCTTCCTAATTGGTCTTCAATAAAGGCTGTCCTGCAATTTATTTGGCTGTTGTTACCTGAGGCATTCATGAAAATGTAAAATGTATCAGTGGAAAGCCTTCTAATTCAGCAATGTCTGCTTGGCTTTAAGCTTCAGCGTTTGTTAATAGAGTATCATTCAAAGAGACTGAAGTCAGTGTTGCACATAAGTAATTTTTGACTTAGGTATAAATGATCTTAAACTTTTTACAAAGGGGGTTTCTTTCGATGGCTATGTGTGGTACCTCACTTCTTCTGAAAAAATTGTAAGCTAACCTCTTGTATTGGGGGCCTTATTGCTCATTCTGCTAAGTAGGGGTTTGGATGTCTGTTCCCAAGTCCTTATAGCCCTCAGGAGAGTTAGAAAATATAGGCAGCTGGATCAGTCCATAGGGAGCAGGTCTTTTGTAAAGAATAGTTCTTAATTGTCCCCTCTGGTTCAATAAAGTAAGTCACAGCAGAGCTGATAGGACATCTCGGTGGTCACTCACTCACAGGCTCCCTGTATGTCAGAAGTGACCTGATGGCACATAGTAACAAGAGCAACAAATTGCCTGCTCAAAACTGAAATAGTTTGAATTACAAGACGGATGTGTCTACGTACCATCAAGTTGGAACTAATATACAGCAACACTAATAGGGCTTTCAAGATAAGTGAGATATATAAGGAGTTGTTTTATCAGTTCCAGCCCTGCTTCCAGTGAGTTTCCATGGCTGAGTGGGGATTCGAACCCATTTCTCCTTCAGCCCAATCCGTCACTCTGTCTACTATACCACATAACTGGCAACAAAACAGTTCCTTGGGAAAGTCCATTGCTTTCTCAGCTACCATGAAGACTGCAGCTAAAGTCAGAGAGAACCCTCTTGGTTGATGTTTTTTCCATGGAGTACAAGGACTGACATGGAAGTCTTAGGTGACCCAGAGAAAAAGATGTTTCCTTGGCCTGGAGCTGTTACCTGGTGAGTCCTACCCAAGCGCTGTTTGAGAAGGATTTTTGTGCTAATGAAATGATACAAATGGTTTAGGGGGGCAACAAGATGCCAACTCATCTAGTCCGGCTCAAAACATCATTCTGTTTAGCACTAACAGAAAAAGCTCTTCCTGAGGATAAAGAAAATGTGCTACCACTCCTGCCAACCCCACTCTCTGTCACTCCCTCCTTTCCATGAAGTTGTCAGGGCACTCCTTCCCTTAGCCCTTTACAGTGGACCCTCGACTTACAGACGGCTCGACTTAACAGACTTTTCAAGTTACAGACTTCTCTGGCCACAAAATTTAGATTCGACTTGCAGCCGGAGAATCGACCTACAAACCAGAAAAAAACCCAAAATGGAACAAAAATAGAACAAAAATGGCCGGTTATGGGATTAATCGGTTTTCAATGCATTGTAGGTCAATGGAGACTCGACCTACAGACTTTTCGACCTGCAGTCACTGTTCCAATACAGATTAATTCCGTAAGTAGAGGGTCCACTGTATAGCTGGCAATATAGCAGTTTTGCTCTGAAGGGAACTGTAGCAGCAGTAATTTAAAACAGAATGATGCTGCCACCATCTATACCTCCCTTGTTGTTGTCCTCTCCTCCCTCCCCTTCCCAAAAGGTTCCACATGGTTCTGCAAAGAGACATGGGTGGCAGTAAATGAGTGACCACAGCTGTGTTGCCTGAGGTGACTGCCTGGCTCTGGCTAATGGGCTGTCCAACTCTTCTAGTCATTCTAAAACCATGTGTAGGATCTGATAATACAAAGGAAGAACAGGAAAAGCAGAAATCATTGACTGTGGGAAAATGATTTAGTGAAAGACAAGTTTGGTAATATTTTTTCAGTGTGTACTGATGATGTGCATTAATTTCTCAGTGCAACTGAAAATATTCCACAATAATGTATTATTCACTGAAAACCAAGATGCTAATTATCATTCTATGATAGTCTATATAAATATTAGAGATCAAGAGACAACAAATAATTTTGAGAATATCATAATTTTTGTGTGACTTTTTGCACACAGAAAATGGAAGGAAATAAATTTACATTTAGATTCTTTCTGTAAAACAATTCACCATTTTATATTTTCAATAATGACAAGAAAAGATTCCCTTAATTTTTTTCTCTTTTGTTTCATTCTCACATTCATTTGCCTGCATTTGCCCCCAATTCTGTTAAAATGTGATTGGCTAACATTGAGATCCTTACACTTGCCTTTACCTGAAAACAAGCTGTACTAAAGACAACGGGATTCTGAACAAACACACACACACATTGCTATGACAACATCCATCCACTACATGTTTCCTGGTTAGCAGGGATCACCTAGTGACTAATTCCAGAAGAAGAAACATGATTATCTAAGTAATGCTACCCGATGAGCTCAAGGCTTTACAGTTCTTCTTTGTCTTGTTTCTCTCCTACCAGAGGCTGACATGAAGACTGTCCCGATTTTGGATGAAGCCACTCTAAACAATGACATACTGTATCTTATACCAGTCCTCAGCGGTTCTTTTCCTTCCTGATCTTCTTTCCCCCTGTATTTTATCTTGAATGATCAGCTGTAACAATCTTTACTTTTCCTTTCACACTGCCTGCTCATTCTTGCCACTGCCTTCAGCTTGAGAAAGTTAACAAAGCACTCTGTCCAAAGTTATGTCCCTGGAATAGAAATGACACAATTTCTACCTTCTTAGACCTGTGTGCAAGTGATGGAACAAACAGATGACAGACGAACAAAGGCAATGCCAGCATTTAATTTACAGTTATTCTTATCAGGCAGTTCAGTTATGAAGGTGGGTTTGCAGCATCAAAAACACATTGACTCCTTTTTGTTTCTTTAATGCATTAGAACAGTGGTCCTAACTGATCACTGCCTGAAGAGTAAAGACAAGAAAGGAAGTGGGATGGTTCTGTTTCATGTTGGACCAGACTCAACCACTTATCTTGGGAAGAAACAGGATGGTTTTACGTCTACCTGAGAAGAAGTGCCTAGTTTCCAATTTCAAGCACTGCTGGCTACAACTTCTGCAGCACCACTGCAAATAATCAGTCAAATATTTTGGGAGAGAATCAAATATGTTTCTTATGGCAATGATCTGCAATATACAAACTACTGATTAGAGAAGTGCCCTGGGGACAGGAATGCCTTGTGAGTAAAATATTACTGGCTGTGTTACAGAATGTTGCCTATCACACAGCATTTTCTGCATTCCTTCTTGAAACCCCTTAAGCCTTAAATAACGCCTGAGTTACACAAGGGGGTTGTAAACAGAGTTAGCTTTATTTTCATAAATCAGCACAAAACAGTGAAAATTTTACTGCCATTTTACTTGGCAGGGGATAGTGTCCTGTGGTCACACAACAATGGATAACACTGTAAGGTAAGGTACTCAGAGTACCATGTTGGAGACAATGTTTTTGCCCTTGTATTTTGAGAAGAAGTCTGCTGTTATCACACAGAGTCTCACCTGCAGCTATGGATGCAAATTAAGGCCCCCACCCCAGGTTGTTAATTAGCTAAAGAGTACAGCAGGGAGGAAGACATGAGCAGAAAGCCATTGTGGTTTAGTGGGTTAGTTTTGAACTGAGATCTGCAGTATCTGGGTTCAGATTTTCACTCAGTCATGAAACTCAGTGGAAGCGAGAACTAGAAACAATTTCTCAGCTGGACCTATCCTATCAGATTGTTGGAAAGACCAAGTGGGAAGGAGGAGAACCTAAGGGTCAGTGGGTAAAAGGTGGGATAGCAAATACATCGATGAATAGTGTTGGTGGTGATAATTTGAAGGTCAAGATTCACTATTCAAATATAAGTAAAGGTAAAGGTAAAGGTAAAGGTTCCCCTTAACAATTTTTGTCCAGTCGTGTTCGACTCTAGGGGGCGGTGCTCATCCCCGTTTCCAAGCCATAGAGCCAGCGTTTTTGTCCGAAGACAATCTTCCGTGGTCACATGGCCAGTGCGACTTAAGACACGGAAGGCTGTTACCTTCCCACCGAGGTGGTCCCTATTTATCTACTTGCATTTGCATGCTTTCGAACCGCTAGGTTGGCAGGAGCTGGGACAAAGCAACGGGAGCTCACTCCGTCGCGTGGATTCGATCTTACGACTGCTTGGGCTTCTGACCCTGTAGCACAGGCTTCTGCGGTTTAGCCCACAGCGCCACCACGTCCCTCAAATATAAGTAGAACACTGTAAAGCACTGCTGAAGACACAGTAAACCACAATTACTTCCTGCTTCCCCGGAGAGTTGTACACCATGACCCTGCGATCTGTTCCTGCTCTGCAATTCTATGATTCCATCATTTTATGAACTAGTTTTTATGTGCTATTTAAAGTTCAATGGAAAAAAATGATAGATCAATTCTAGCTCTAATTTTGAGAAATAAAAATGGCCATGGTCCAATACAAGGAACAAACTTTTCAGAATTCATGTTTACTTGCCTTTTTCCTTTGGAAGTTCACATCAAGTTTCATTGAGGCACACTTGTTCAGCGTGTTCAGTCGTCTGAAAGCAAAGATTAGCATTAGGAAGGGAACTTTAAATAACTACCAGTGAATAACTACAATACACAATGGGACATGCAGAGCTAATAGCGACACATGAGACCAATGCAGGAAACCACTTCCTTCAGTAATCCAGATTTATTCAACAATTAGGTTGATAAACTGAGATAGATATTCATCACCATAATGAGAAATAGGCATCTAGATAAGATTTCAGGTTAAGTGTGACTCTATTTAACTAATTCCTTCCCTGAATCTGATTAATTTGCAATAAACTGAGGAAGACATTGAAAAATTCTATTAAATAGATACTAAGGTCCCGCTGAAACCTCTAATATTTCATTACTGTAACAATCCATGAAAATTAATAAACATATTGACATTTCAGAGGGATTTAAAACATGAAACTTTTTAAAACCAATTTTTATTAACTAAAACCAAACTCAGAGTTGGAGACAGCAAACTGTTTTAAAACAGTTGCAAGTGGTAGGGTAGAAGCGCTGTGGCCAGCAAATATGTTTTACAGTAACACTATAAACCTGGTGTGGGGAACTACATATTGATTAGAGATGATGGGTGCAGTAATTAAATACCCTTCAAGGTATTCCACCTGTGACACTGAAAAAAGTATGGTAGAATAATCATGAGAGTTCTGTGAAACAAAGGGAGATAACCTTCTTTCAGGAATGTCATATTTGTACCTAAGACCTGAATCAAATATTACTGTTTTGTGTAGATCAGCACTTTGATATGTTATTTTCCCCTACAACTCATAGAATCCCTTAAATCAGCGTAAGTAATAGCTATTTTGGCTAAAATATTGAGATGGGCACGAATCGCAGTTCGGCACAGCACCCACATAGGTGTTCAGCAACAGTCACACACTTCCTTCTCCCACCTCCTCTGCACTCCCACCCTTTCCCCAGTTGAAGCACACTTCCCTCTATTCCTCCTCAGTGCGACTTCCCACAGACTTTCCTCCTCCGCCTCCTTTGTAGCTCCCACTCAAAGGTAGCGCTGCAAGCTTCCCTATCCCACCACCTGGTCTGAGTGGATGGCTGTCAGAGGAGGCAGAGGAGGGAAGCATGCCATTCAATCAGTGAGTGGACAGTTGTGCTGAGAAGGCGGGAGAGGGGAGTGCATGGTGCCTGCAGAACACCTGTGTGGGTGCTGAGCCGCATACTCTCAGATCACCATAGGTATTTTAAATCCCTACTGTACATTTTTGCCAGTTTGCAACAGAGAATTATTTCTTATGGGTTTGTACTTAAAATCATAGTTCCTTGATTTTTCTAAACCTTATCTGGACATTTCAACTGAAGGATTAAAGGCTTTATAAGAAACTATTCTAAATAACACAATCAATGGATCAGGAGACAGCAGTATAGACAACTATACTGACACTTGAGTGACCGATGGAAGTACATTTCCCTCTCAGGTTAAAGACTAGAAAAAAAAATAGACAAGATTATTTTGAACAATGTGAGAATAATTTATTCACGAAGGCTGAGAATAATTTGCCTTTATATGTGATCTTCTGGATTCAATACATGGATGTGGAAAAATAATGGTCATACTGGCTGGGATTCTGGGAGCTGCAGTAGAAAAAGAGTAACTTTTCCAAACTCTGGTACATAGCATATATGGTGGAAAGAAATACATTTCCCCTTCTCTGGAGCCTGGGATTATCCCATGAAGCTCAGTGGTCAGAGATGCAACACATGATGCAAAATTCTATTTTGTAAATCACATAATTTAACTAGGAATTCAGTTTTGTTAGAAAATTTAAGAGTCTTAAACAAAAATACTATTTCAATGCAGATAATTTTATTTAAAATAAAATATCTGTTTGGAAGTACAGAAGTACAATGCAATGGGTTCAGTAGGACCCTGTCACAAAGGCTGCTAGTGTATACAGTGGTACACATTTATAGGCTTGGTACAAATTTGTTTTTAGCATTTCTCTAGCAGCTCCCTTCCTCTTTTTTGGATGGCTCTGGAGACTTCAGCAAAAACTGTGTTTCTAGATGGTTCTGCTTTTCAGAACCAAAGTTTTACATCTTTGCTTTGGGCCTAGGTTTTCCTTATAAATTCCAGAACTTTCCCACAGTTATATAAGATGTAATGATAGTCATTGACATGTAAAATCTTATTATAAGTATACAACTAAATATTTAATTTGACTTTCCTCTTTCAGTAAAAAAGGCAATCAAGGCAGCTAACAATACTAAAACATGGAATTAAAAACCAAATCTTGAACAGAGTGGGTAAAATCCTATTGTCTAATGCTGTTGGAAGGGAAATGACATAATTAACAGTGGCAAATTGCTGCTAACCAACAACCCCCCATCGGGGGTTCCTTATTATGCATATGTTGGGTGGCTTGACACAGGATGAGGAATCCAAAAGGGGACTCAGTAATTGGTAGTAATTTGCTGCTGCACATCAAATCATTTCCTTTCCACTGTTGTAACTATACAACAGGGTTTTGGCCAATGTATCATAAAAGCCAGCACAATTTAAAACACCATTAAAAATGGAAGAAGAAAAACAGAACTACCACCCAGTCAGTTAAACTGACCTTAAAAGAGCAGCTGACATACCAAAGTTCTACTTCAACATGAATAAGGAAACTGGATTGAGGTGATTGTTTGCTTATGATTTTGCCAAGAGAAGCCGCAATTCACATATGCGTTCACCTGTTCATACTAAATGTTCATGGGGAGTATTATGCTTTTCACTTAGGGGCACTGTAATAATCCAGAATTCCAGAAGATTTCCCATAGAGTACCATGAGGTTCATTACCTTAACTCAGTGGAGAAAGCTAAGGGTCAATTTTCATGGCAAAATGACCTAGAACATGTTGTTTCCTTCAGACTTTTTGTCCCTCTGTTATGCTACACGACACTTACTAAATACAATGTTATTGTGCAGTGAAAGCTCTTAAAATTGCATTGCCTTCTGGGTGGCCTTTTGCCCTTTTGGGTGACCTTTTGCCCTATGTCCCTGTTATTTTCTGACAACTTAAAATTAGTTTGAATCCTAACTTCCTGTGATCCCACCCTGCAGCTGTTGGTGAGCAGCTGCTAAGAGAATCTAGTCCAAGCCATGCCTGGGTCAGAAATTAGTCCAGAGCCATGGATGCTGGTATTCCTGGAGGTTTTCTACACCAAGTGCAGTTGTGCAACTGTACAGTTCCTTCCTGTCGGGACACGATGATGGCTTCTCTACAGATCTTTTGATGGAACATTTGAAATACTTCCATTTACCAGAAATAGGTGGAAAAATGCAGCCTTTTAATAGGACTTATTCACACAATCTTTAGCAGCCTTCTGTTCTTAAGATTTTAGTGCAGAGTAAAACCAGAGCTTCCAGAATTTCCCAGACAGCATGGGAGCAGGACTGTTGGCCAGGATTTTGGGAACTGTAACCCAAAACAGTAACAGTAACTGTAACTTGCCAAATTCTGGATGAAACAATTGACTGTCAGCTCTATCATGAATTCAGACTCTTAGGTTCTAGGATTATGATGATCATTATGATAAATCCACAATTTGCCAAATGCTAAAGCAGCAAACTACCTGTCTCAGCATTAATCCTCTACTAGAGAATGTTGATACTTGAAAACCCAGTGACAATTTGCTGAAATGGGAGACAAATGAACAATTATCATTCCATCTCCCTTTTGGCATCAGGCAAGACCACATTTTAACTTCAATCAAAAAGGCAAAATAACATTTGTGCCGCAAAAAAGGAGAGAGGGGCTTGTGGTGAAATCACAGGAAATCAAACCTGAGTGCTCACTGGAAGCACAAATCCTGAAGCTGAGGTTTCAATACTTTGGCCATCTCATGAAAAGACTCCCTGGAAAAGACCCTGATGTTGGCAAAATGTGAAGGCAAGAGGAAAGGGGATGACAGAGGATGAGATGGTTGGACAGTGTCATCGAAGCGACCAACATGAATTTGACCCAACTCCGGGAGGCAGTGGAAGACAGGAGGGCCTGGCGTGCTCTGGTCCATGGGGTCACAAAGAGTCGGACACGACTTAACGACTAAACAACACAACAACAACAAAGCTTTCCATTGGCATTCCCTGATATGTTTCCATTCTGGAGCAGAGATCTGAACCTAGGCCTCCCGAGTCCTAGTTTGATACTCTTTTATCACTCCATTCCACTCTGCTCCATGACTTGAAGACAAATTCTTCCCTCCTCACAATTTATTTTTGTAACATTTTGTCTGCTGAAGAGATCCAGGGTTCTTTAAAGCTTGCTTTTTTTTGGTACTTCTTTGGTTGGCTTAATAAAGATGTTGTTACTCTGCTGTGATGGTGACATGATAAAATAATACAAAGGTATTAAAATGATAGTGCCAAAAGGGAGAAAGACTTTACCTACAAAGAGGTTCTACAAGATCCTTGTCGAGAAAGTCATGATCTTTCTTTACGGCACTGATATCAACAGGAAACTGGGAATCTGCAAAAGAAGCATTTGTTGGTGGAACAGAAAACACATGCTAGCTTTAAAAGGAGACTGAGTTTGGAAATATTTTATGAAAGCAGTCCCACACTATTATAATTCAAACAGGATGTGATTACAGCAATTGTGGGAATGGCCAATTTTGCCTTTTCCAACAAAATGGCTTCACTAGCCAATGTTATGCAAAGGCACTCCTGTTCACAGCAGTTACATTCATCAACCACTGAGTTATCCAGCTACATGCAATATAATCTTAGAACTACAGAGCTGAAAGGGACCCTTTATCAAGTCTAGGCCCTATCAAGCAAGCACAGTGGATAATCAAACTTCCAACCGCTGGCTCTGCAGCAAGAGACCTAATCCAGTAGCAAAGCACATGGCCAGTGCGACTTAGACACGGAACGCTGTTACCTTCCCACCGAGGTGGTCCCTATTTATCTACTTGCATTTGCATGCTTTCGAACCGCTAGGTTGGCAGGAGCTGGGACAAGCAACGGGTGCTCACTCCGTCGCGTGGATTCGATCTTACGACTGCTTGGTCTTCTGACCCTGCAGCACAGGCTTCTGCGGTTTAGCCTGCAGCGCCACCACGTCCCTAGTTATCCAGCTACATCCAATATAATCTTAGAACTACAGAGCTGAAAGGGACTCTTTATCAAGTCTAGGCCCTGTCAAGCAAGCACAGTGGATAATCAAACTTCCCACCGCTGGCTCTGCAGCAAGAGACCTAATCCAGTAGCAAAGCAGGACTCCAGAGCACCTGATATTTTCAGAGGTAATGCCATGCCATCCAGAGAAAAGGTATTATCCTGAACTTTCAATTGCATTTGGTTCTGTAGTTAAGTAACAGAGCCTTTTTTTTTGATTAAATCTTAGCTAAGGTATTCTTACGTATTTATAACTTAAATGTAATGAGCAGCATCTAATTACTCCAAAAGTTAGTTTTAAATTGTGTTTAAAATGCAGAACCTTTTTTCAGGTTTTATGCCATTTTCTCATGAAGTTTAAGTGGCAATGAAAGTATTCTATTCCTTTCCAAGGTGTAATATCAGATATAGCCACTAGAGGGAACCGGAAAGTAATGACTTGTGTTGCTGGAACAATAATAAGAGTAAGAATGACTTGGCTGTTGATAAGTAATTAGTATGTTTTAAAATATAATGTTCTGACCTTTGAGGTTTACAGGCTATTATAGTACCCGTCCTCCTGCCATACTTACCTTCGTATAATTGTGCATATTGGGGGAACCCTGAAGCTCGTAACCAGTCGCAGGCCTCCTTTGCTTCAATTTCTGAAAGAGAATGAAAAACAATGAGCATTAATATCTGTGTTACACCCTTGGTATTCTTTTCGTCAACTGTGCATGAAGGGTGTGTGGGAAATAATGGCCTGTCCCAAATGCTACAATCCAACCACATCGGTTCTGTACTGAAGTGCATTGTCTCTGTAATACTTAATCCGTTTCCGTTTTTAAAAACTCATACCCATGTGTCTTCAATAGTTTTTGTAATTGTCTGAACACTGTCTCGCCGCAATAACATTCTCACAATCGCAGGAGCTCTAAGGGAAGGAGAAGATAACTTGTTTGCTCAGTTACAAAACCTCAGATCAACCCAAGGTCATTTTGACACTGTTTTGATCACAAGCAGAGGTGCTTTATTATAAATCGTTTGTTTTCATTATGAGTGCCAATGTGACATACAATAAGCAGAGGGTCACAGTACGATTCAGGAGACATACCGTAGTTCAAATCACCATTCTATGACAGAAGCTCTCTGAGGGGTGGCAATGACTCCTTGAGTATCTAATCTATCTCTAAAACTTTACAATAAACATATGTCAAACGTGACTTGATAGCACATGCACAGTTACTTTGCAGAAGTAATAGCGGTCTGACTGCCCTGTAACTGCCATGGTTGCATCTTATGGAAACCATTAGGGATTGTAGTTTGATGAGCAGCAAAGCATGCTGCTTATATACCGCCCCATAGCGCTTCAAGCACTCTCTGGGCGGTTTACAATTTAATTATGCAGGCTACACATTGCCCCCCCAGCGAGCTGGGTACTAATTTTACCGACCTCGGAAGGATAGAAGGCTGAGTCAACCTTGAGCCGGCTATCTGGGATTTGAATCCCAGGTCGTGAGCACAGTTTTAGCTGCAGTACAGTGGTTTAACCACTGCGCCATGAGGCTTCTCGTGGCGCAGTTTGATGAGGCACTTAGAATCCTTTGCCAGAGAATTCCAGTGCATTTTCCTTGCTCTATAGTGGAGAATTAGAAGTTTGTAATCAAACTACAGATTGCAGATAACACATAACGGAGCTATGGCTGCTAAAGGGGAATCAAAACTGATATAGCTTTGCAGTGTGGATAAATTCACACAAATCTGTCAAGAATCAATATCATTTGATTCAACATGTGTTAAGAAAATGATGATCTCTCTCCCCTCCCATGAGAAAGTTCATGACAGACACAATAGCCTTAAAAACATGTGTTTTTTTCTTGTGCGTCGGAGTGGTAAAATACCAAGAAGTATATTAAAACAATTCTGACAAATGGACTTTTGAAAAAGTACTGGGAAGAAGAATGTTCACTATAGGATTTACAAGATGGAGACCTGCAACACACTCTTCCAGGATGTTGTTGCCTGCACTGTGGCAATCAAAATCTGTAAGTATCAGCTGTTTACAATACACAGAGAGGCTAAGTCATAAAATAGGCCACTGGAATGCTTTACTGTCCAAACCAATGTAATGTCTTGGGGGCAAAAATGTTCCAGTGAACTCTGGCCCAGGGAACCAATTTAAGATTTTGATCTGAAAACCAAAAAGACCTAGAGTAGGAAATCTCAAGAAATCTATTGGGTTTTGGCCACTGAGCTAGTAAATCCATCCAAAGTTAACACACAGGGAGGAGGGTGAGGAAGACCTAATATAGTTTCTGAAATAAAAACTGATTTATGGAAGCACCTTCTCAAACCACAAACATTCAGGTTTGTTTGGGGATATTTTACTCTTCTGAGAAACACTGCAAATTAGCAACCTGAGATATACTGAAAATTCTTTTGGGATGGTAAAATGTCCCTACTAGACATGGGCACGAATAAAAAAAATGGATCACGATATTCAATAAAAAATCACGGATTCATTAAAGATTTGTCCCTTAGCCGGTGACATCATCTGGCACTGCTGTCACCCATCACCATCTGCTGTGATGGCCTCCGCCGCTATGGCTTGCCATAGGGGAATCCAGTGTGCTCTTTGCAAAGATGGAGGCTGCAGCTTCCCTACTGTAAATGAAGCTGCACCTGCCAACTTTGCAAAGGGCAGCCAGTGTCTCTTGCTGCAGGCCACAGTGGTGGTCAGCCGTTGTGATAGTGACAGTGGTAGGGGGCGCGGTGGTGAGGAGGGTGGTGGTGCAGTGGCAGTGGTTGTGGGTCACTTTGGCGGGGGGTGTCAGGTGCTTTTTTAGACAGCCTCTAGCATCTAACCTCTCCCCACAAATCGACAAATAAATTCATGCTTTGTCAGTTCATGGGGAGAGCTTCATACTATATGATTCGTCAACTTTGATGGATCACAAAGCAGGATGAATCGCCAAAATGGTGATTCATCCCCATCTCTAGTCCCCACCAAAGATTATGTAAGTTTCCTAACTTCACCATAACCCATTATTTTTATTATACACTTGTCAAAAACATAAAATCTGTAATACCTTGTGTTAATTGCATGCTTAAGAAATTAAACTGTTGATGCTTTTCCAATTTCCAAAAAAATTGTCTTTACTGTGGACTATATTTTATATTTAGTGTTTTATCACACAAGTCACCCATAAAGCATGCCTGCAACATCGCTCTGCTTTTGTTGATTTATATCCAGAAATCTATACCTTGTTCCTGTGTTACGGCTCACAAGTATATATGTGAATATAAATCTTTCTGAGAAGAATAACTGCTAGATAGTATAATTTATTAGACTACAAACATGTACGTATAGCCATGTCTTCTTTAACTTTTGCATTACTTCCAGTACAGTGGCAGTCCATTTAACTACGTGTAATAAAAGAGTAATAAATGAGTTCCTGAGAAACTATACACTTATCTCCAGATTACAGTTCCTAACACCTCCTGATCATAATCAGCATGATCAGTGATCATGTTCACTGCAGGTATTGCAAAACACAGTCCAGTGTGCCTGGACCCCACTCACTTTGGAAAAGTGATATACTGTATGAGTTCCTAAGTAAGTAAGTAAGTAAGTAAGGAAGGAAGGAAGGAAGGAAGGGAGGAAGGGAGGAAGGGAGGAAGGGAGGGAGGAAGGGAGGGAGGGAGGAAGGGAGGAAGGAAGGAAGGAAGGAAGGAAATAAAATAAAATAAATCCAGTCCCAGAATTGTTAGATTATAAACAAGCCTTGTAATATTTAAAATATTTGTACAGCACTTACCAATTTATGCACTTTAAACAGAAATATAATTAGAATGATAAGGATTGTAATAATGTGTTCAACATTTTTTTCTTTTAAACCTGCTGCTTTGATATTCCTTCTGCTAAAACAGCTTTCAAGTTTACAACTAAAGTAATAGTTTGAAAAGATCACAAGATATTAAAATATACACAAGGTGTTGAGTTGGAAAGAATTCTTTCAGCAAACCTGAAAGAAATGTATTTGCGGACTTCCAGTTCGATGTTGTGACAATACAGTCCCAGGGAGACAGAGCTCTGCTCCCTGAGACTGCTTTTTGGCTTGCTAGGGAGCCCCAAGAGGCTTAAGTCACTCCAGAAAGGTGACAAATAAGGGGGCGATACGCCTATTTGCTTGCTTTCAGCTGAAAATAAACAAATATTTATTGGATCTCTTTGTCTCTGGCTGATTGATTAATGTGTCAGAGACAGGCAAAACTGAGGAATTAGTCCCGGGTCCTTCATTTATTAGCTTTGCTACCCTTAATGTTAATGTAGAAACTAAACTGAAATTACATCTAAGGAAAAATTAAAACAGGTATGGAAGCTTGGAGCCAGTCATTCTGGACCTCTGGGGAAAATGGATCACAGTTCCAACCCACATCAATCCAAGCCAGTCCTATGATGTCCCTTCCAGAGGCAGCAACCTGCCCTGTCAGTGCAGGCTAGCAGCCATGCACCAACATGCCCTCTTGATTTGCTTTAGGCCTCAACACCAGCAGTTCAGGATTGTATTCTAATTTCCTCCCCTCTTTGAATACAATGGGACACAGTTCATTATTATTACAAAGAACTGTTGTAGGAGAATGACCTGGTTCAGAAGGTACAGCAATATAATGAACATGCAGTCACTTTGAAGACCTTCTCCTGTGAGAAGCAAGATTTCCACATCAAACGTCTGCGGTTAGCTTTTTTTGTTTGATGAAACGTTCACTTACTGCGGTTGTAACGTTAATGATCATTGCCAGAATACCACTTCATTATTAGGAAGTCAGTGCATAAAATACCAGCAGTACTCAGATTAGACATGGAGGTTGCTACAGTATCAGACCTATTATATGGAATTTAATTCATGCCTCTCCTTATCATATTTTAGTGGAAATGTGCAGTCAATTCTACATTCAGAGTCTAATACAGAAACTGCCTCCAAGCTAGGGACAACTAAATTGCTTCATTTTAGTGAAAACTGAGGCAAACCATAAACGTACGTATCTTCATATGAATATTTATTTTTGTAACACTTCCCACATACAATGCAAATAGAGAGGACATTGAGAATTCTGTCCTTTAATTGAGATAAAAATTAAATCCAGATCCATCAGAACAGGATTCAAGGCCAACAATATAAGGTTGTATAACATGTTGGGGGGGGGGGAAGCCACTAGAAACAAACAAAGAAAAGAAATCTAAGGCTGCAATTAGAGGGTCAAATTAGAGCAGCCTGGATTGGACTATATAAGGTTCCTTAAGGTCACGCAGAGGTGTGGTATGCCATTTGGTGTGATTCTTGCATTCATAGGCAAGGGTTAGGTGGATTTGGGCCAGGGAACCACACTGCACCTCAAGCACCCCAATCTGGCCCTTTTAAAGGGAAAGAAAAGAGGATAAAAACAAAAGAGAGAGATGCCGTCCCATCCTCTCATGTCTCCCCCTTTCAACGGAAACTTTCAATTTCCTAATATCATCAACCTAAGCCATTCTCCTTCATTTGACCCCAGAGATTGCACATGGTGGAACCATACAAAAAGGGAGTGATCCTAAAGCCCAGCCCCCAAAGCAATAGACTGTGACAAGAATCCAAAAAGCTATGGCTAAGCATGCATAAGAGACCCACTAGTTTGTGATGGG